GTACAACGCGAGTCTGCACAGTGAGCTGTGTGCGGCAAGTTTCCCACACCGACAGCAATAGGGCCATTGCCACCCGATTGTCTGCAGAAGCCTCATAGTCTAGAGGAAGCTCCTTGGCCAATCCTTTGCGCACGGCTTCTTTGGTGTCATCAAGCCCCGCATAGATGCGCACACTGGTGAAGCCACATTTGTAGACCTTTCCCTGAATCTCCTCGGAAACTCCGGCCTCATCCATCAGGAATTGCAATTCCGACTCCGCCTTTGCCAAAATAGCTTTTGCTGCATCAGTCGCCCTGAATGACCACGAACGAAATGAAGCACCTGCCAAGGCCAAAGGTGTAAGTTATCAGAAGGGTGGACAAAAGGGGGTTGGACTCAGCCGGCACTGCCAACCTAAAGGGAAAAATATATATACAATACCAGCTATCCAGCCGGATCCGGCCGGCCAAGCCAAGCAGACCCTCAGGGAAAATAACTACTCAGTTTGCACGTCCGTGCCCACTGAACATGGTCGGGTCTCCACCCAACCGTCCGGTTGGCCCTCCAGCCAACCTATGGCAAGGCTGTCACGCCCACCACCAATTGACAAGTCCATGTCAATTCGGAACCCTGCAATCTGGGCACCTGAAAGCCGAAGGCGTACAAGGAGGGCCAAACCACCAAGCTTGGGGTTTGAACCAGAAACAACGGAATCTGGTCTGGTGGTATCCCTGAAAACAACGACGACAATAAAGCAAAACCAAAAAAACAGTTGGGGCCCATCATGACTCATCCAAGCCATGTATGACATCTCGCGCGGCAACATGCCCGCAATCGGCTTAGAGAAAAAGTAGTAATGCCCTGCTGTACAACAAGGCAATCAAGAAAAAGAAGTCACGAAAAACAAAAAACAAAGGGGAGGAAGGTCGGTGTCTCAAGCAGCCTTGGCCGCTATTTCCTTCAAACGCCCCTGGAGTTCTCTTGCTACGCGCGGGTGGAAGAAGAGCTGGAAGAGGAACTGCTATTTGACGACGAGTCGCTTTCAGTGACCAGCGTCGGTTCCTCAGGTTGCTTCGCAATCCTGTAAGTCGAGTACAGGTTCCATATTGTCTGCACACTGAGGGCGGTGACACCACAGCCGCCCCGCCGATGCAAACGTCGAACCCGGTTCTTCCCCACAATGGAAATGAAGAAGTCTGCTTGTCGGAGGGGTATTCATGTGATGCGTCAGGCAAGGGCACGTCGGGCAAATCGACGATATCATGAGAATCTGTCGCAGGGCGCCAGCACACGGCCATTTTGAGATGTTCCACTTGGGTTTGCGCATCAGAGGGTGGAACCCCCCGTGATACCAAAAACTGTTGTAAGCTATCCAAGCCACCATTCCTCAAACCCCACCGCTCATCTTTCAGCAGGCCACGCAGAGCCTCTTCTTGCAAGGTGATTACGAGGTATTGGGCAGTGCGGCATATTCGTCGGAGGCAGTCACTACTCGCCAGCGGCCCACAAAAAAGTCACGCTTTTCTCGCTGAACCCCAAGCAAAGCAAGGATCGACACCAGCCAATTGCGCTCAGAGTGTTCTGTCCAAAACGCCAACGTGCCCCGAAACAAAATCAGCTTCTCGGGCCCTGCTTGCCAGGCATGGCCATCCCAAACAGGCACCGAAAGCAAACTCAGGAGCCGTTTGGTCAGGGATAGGATCTGGGGTATTCCACCATCACACAACGCGCCCCAGAGTCATCGTCCAGCGGCTTAAGGGAAGAAAGTAATCTCGGGCAAAGTTCATCATAGCAGAATCCGCCCAAAGGGCCCAGCCATCAGCCAGCCAGGCGGGGTTCACACGATTGCTTACAAAAATTGGCAGGAAACGAATCTTCTTCCCAGGTCCTGTCTTTGTGCGGTCCAGAACGCCGCTTAAGCCATGCTCCGAGAGCTTCAGGGAATTAGGGTCGAGCCCACAGAGATCACTGGAGCGGCTTGAAGTCCACAATTTCAATAGTTTGTAAAAAGCAAAACCATGCAAGTATAGGGGCAAGGTGGGATCGCTCAGAGCCAGTTCTGTCGCCCCAATAAGGACTGCCGGCAGCATGGGAGCTTTCCGCCGTGGGGGCGCCCGGGTCTCCAAGTCGCCGGTAAGTTGGTGGACAGTGTTGATCAATACTTCCATGTCGGAGAAGCGCTCTCCTTTTCGAACCGCCCCTGCTTTTTCTATAAACGCCAGGCTTGCTAAGATTGCAGCAGGAACTGTCCGGGCACAGGGCTCCAGCCGCCGCTCGTGCAAGTAGTCCAGCAGAACGCTGACACTCTGCGGCCATGGCTGGCCCGTAACTGCTAAGCAAAATGCACGAGCTTTGCGCCATTCACGGATCCGCTTGCGGATAGTAGAAGCCCGCGTGGAGCCCAGGGCACCCAGCAAAATGGCTTCCCGATCGCGCACTTGAGACATTGCTTCGGTGATTGGTAAACCAGCGTCGGCTACCAGTTCGGCCAGCTCGCTTCTCCATCTGAGTATAGCTCTTTGGCTTCAGTGTCGGCTCTGGTAGATTCGCTTCGAACAATCGCCAATTTCCGCACGCGGCGAGATTTCCATTGCCATTGCCCAATGCGTTTGGAAGCACCAGATTTCGCAAGCCAACTCTGTGTGAATTCAACTGCTGGCAATGGCTTTGCTCGCTTTGCTTTATTGTAAATATGAGAGAACTTGGTCGCAGAATCGACAAGCGCTCGTCGCTTCTGCACCGTCTTCACATTGTCTAGGGCCCATGCCTGCAAATCCAGCAACGCGGCCGCCGCAGTTGATTTGGCACTGCTGTGGCCGGCGCCCAACGAAGTATCCAACAAACGCTGTAAATCTTCGCGAAAAGATACGCCTCCGCTGAGGGACATGCTCCATTTGCCGCGCCGAAGTCTTGCTGCAATCGGCGCGGCAGGCTGCTCCACAAGGAGGCAGCCATGTGAAGCACAGTCAAAAGAAAGAACAGACACAGCCAAGCAAAACACCGTGGCGGAGGTTCACACAACCGCCATCAAACGTTGCCCAAGTCCATGAGCAACCCCACTGGGCTGAACTCATGCATTCAATCAAAATGGTGACCAGAACATCAAACCAACCGATTGGAACAAGTCATTGCAAGCAAATCCCCGTTTGTTGTACGCTCGCGTACACATCCCATCCCTTTCAACAGCCCGACCCCACTCCAACTTGGGGTTTACCAGTCACGCTTGTTACACCATCACCCCACTCGCCCACTTGGCTACAAGCGATCCCCCCACAAGCTGCTGCACCTACAGGCTCCCCTATTGAGCGTTCTCAGCCAATACCAGCCCAGACTGAGCGCCGATCCCGCTGTGGGTGTCACCACCTGTTCCAAAGGCATTCCGCTCCACTTCCCGTCAGACTTTTTGCAATCTCTTTCACTCTACCGACTCTGGACGTGTCTATGTACAGTTTTAGAGGGCTGCCAAGGTGAAGTCAGCAGGTTGAAAGGATGCGCACAGCCCTTAAGGTGCATGCGTCACATGAGTAGAGGCAGTCTTGAATAGTGGCTGCGCTCACTTGTGTGGGCGGGTAGAGAACGCCTGAAACGCAGAAACACTCACGTCAGGTGAGGCAACGACAGGTTCTTGCTGGCCACTGTGCATCGTGGAATGTCCTTGGAGTGGTGTCGAGCACGGGCGCGCCTGCACCTCGGTAAGCTAGAAGCCTTGGTTAACGCCAGGTGGAAGGCTGAACTGAGGGGAAGGGGTTTGCGTAGCCGGCCCACCCCTGGGGACTGGGGATGCGGGGATTTGCATCCGGGGATGGCAAGGAGTTTCCCCACAAAAGAATTTGCAAGTTGCCACAGCCGGGGGGGGAGCCACAAAGAAAGAAGCGACCCTGGCAAAGAAAGCGGAACTTCAGTCCAATTTTGACCGCGATGGAATTTTTAAGCTGTCATCAGGAGTTGCAAAACCTTGTTAAAACACTTTCAAATCTGCGGGCCCGTCACCTTTCCTTTTGCGCTTTTTCAGTCAAGGTCTAATGCGTGTAAAGTGGGACTTCATACTGATCCTAGCTCTTGCGAGCAACCATCTAAGTGTGACAGGCAGTTGTCGCAAACGAAATTGTCGGATCGCAGGGCTGAAAGTATTGCGCACCTTTTGCTTTAAAAAATGAAAAAATGAAAAAGGACTGTTGTGTTTGTCAGAGAATGCAGCGGTGACAAGAATTGAAGGGTATATGGTATACGTACACGGACTCAGCTGTGAGATTGGGGGTTGGATGGTATGCTGTGGGGGAAGAATAAGTTGAGCGTCTTTGGGCAACAAAGGTAGCAGTTAGAACCAGATTTGATAGAGGTCATCGCGGTTGGGGTAAGTCACTTCAGGCTCAGTGTTAGAAAGAACGTACCCGTAGCAGGCCGCTAATTAGATTAATCCACGCCACAGCGATGCTTTGTAACAGCACATAGTCAAGACGCTTCGCGTCGACAGCCGCCCACACCACGCACGAACAGCCGAAGTTAGTGAAATGGAGGTAGCCATCTAGGCGCCAGGTTGGGGACAAGTGCAGCCATCTAGGCGCCAGGTTGGCTGTCTTACGGCTGCGTTGGAGCCATCTTGGGGCCAACTTCGTCTACCTTGGGGCCCATAATGGGGATATAACTTCGGCCTTGCCAACAGCCATTCAAAAATACACCTCCAAAACACTCTCCCCAGTGGCCCTGCAGCCGAGCAAGAATCAACGCAGCAACCACCCCAAAACACAAAAACTCCTCCAAAACGCTCTCCCAAGTGGCCCTGCAAGCACGACGTAACGAAAAATCAATCAAAATGTACCTCCAAAACGCTCTCCCCAGTGACCCTGCAGCCCAACCATAGCTCAAGAGCCCCAACAGCATGCCCTGCACCGACAAGCGGTGTGGGCGGATATAAGTCGAATAAGTTGCGCATTAAGTGGAAGAAACCTTTGCAACAGGCGTCGCTGCAGGGTGACCGCAAGCACTGGCAAGTGTGACACTTTGCCTCCAGGGTTCCTGGCGAAAAGACCGGACGTGGCCTGCGGTGCTGGTCATCTGAGAAGTATCGGCCTGTCGCCTCACCAGGTATCAAGGGTATCACGGTGGCAAGGTCGCGAGGCCAAATGCACGACTCGGGAGAACCGCTTCTCATCGGTTCTCTGTTTAGCCCAACTGAGAGGAGTAATTGGAGACAGGGTGTCTTCGTACAAAAGAACAGTCATAGCTTACAGTTTGACAGCAGATCTTTGCCAACCTTGAAGGAGAAGTTGGCGGTCTTTGGCGCAGCCACACCAAAGCTTCCCTGACTTTCAACAGATGTACCTCAAAGCCCAAGAGGGAACCAAAGCCACACGACGAGAACCAGCCAACTCATTCAACCCATTGCCAACGCTCTTGAGTGTTCAACCTCCAAACGCACGTCCAAACCTCAGAAAATATTGTGAGATCAAAAGAGTCCAAAAAGGCCAGGTGGCAAAGAAACCAAACTGGGCTGCAAAAAATGATGAAAGGGCAAATCACGATGAAAATGCAGTTCGAGCTGGCCAGAAACATCCGAGGATTCTGACTAGTTCAATTTGGTACTTCAGTTGACAAAAAACAATTGGAATATCTTACCTACTGGAACAAAAAGAATCCTTGGAAACCTTGCTGCGCGTAGCCCAAGCGGATCCCAGGTGCTTCTTCTGCAGACACATTTTGGCACCCAACCTGTCGGGTTCCAAGGACAAACCTTCGATGATCAAAACCCTGAAGCCGTTTTACCCATGCCAGGCGTTCACGCAAAGACTTTTGCAACCTGTGTTTACACTGCTCGTTGCGCTGAAACATCTCAGCAAGGCGCCTCTTGCAGCGCAGCATGCCAAACGGCAATCAAAGCCTGCGGCCACCATCAAGGACATAGTTGCTGGCGTGTGTGTGTGTGTGTGCGTGAAGCCCTTGGAGTCACAGGGCCGGGAACGACTATGTTTCTAAAGCAGGGGCACTGAGCACTCCTTGACAAACTCAGTGCAACGAAGCTATGCCTTGGAGTGGGAAGCACGGATTGATCACCCGTTTGCATCTGCATTTTAACAGGCGTGACGTTCTGTAACTAGTAACTTAACTAGTAACTACCTCCTCCTCAATTGGACAGGCTGCTTAGGTGAATCTGAGGTTTGCAGAGCTGCCCGACGTCGATCGCTCGCACTGCTCGCGCCTTTGGAACTTTGAGATTTTCCTTGATTTTGGTTGGACGCCACTCCATTTATATACATCTTTCAGGTTTCACCTCCCTGGATTCTTAGGTTTTCTCCACTTAGGCTGGCGAGTGGCAACCCGCAAGTCGTTTCTGCGCGCATTATCTCGAGTGTGCCTCCCCTTCGCGGGAGCCCTGGGTGAGCCCGAAGAGTGACCCCTGTGGCCTTGCTGAGCCAGGGTTTGTCCAATTTCCCCCTGCCCGGGAACGAGGTGTCCGAAGCGGACAGAAGGAGCCTTAGCGCAAACGTTCGTCAAGATTTGTTGAACTACAGGAAAACAAGTAGGCATGCAGCCTTCGAGCACGCCACGAGGCGTCCATAGCGGACTTGAGTAGGCTCAATGCCACGAGTACACCGCATCGGTCGCAGATCGTTCGAGACCCATTGTTTTTCCAGCCCCTTCATGTGGTTCCCCTTTCATCCTTTCCCCCCAAACACTTTCCTTGTCCTCTTTCTTTTCATGTCTTTCCTGTCTTCATGTTTTGTCGTCTCATCCTTTTTCTTCTTTTTTGCGCACACACTGCTTGGTTCGTACGCGCACCCGTAATTACTCGAAACCCAGGTCTGAGGTCGCGCAGGTTGTTATAAGGAGGTATGGCTCATCTGGTTGTTCCTGGTCACTTGGTTCTTTTTCACCACAACCACATGCACTGTCCTGTCTTGTCTTCCTCTCACGTCTTCATCTTTTACACGCAACACACTGCCAGCACGCCGCGCCCTTTGCCTTCCACTGGGGTTTACACCCTTCTGGCGTGTATGGTGCCTCGACTTGCGCCGGCTTCGGCTATACACTGGTCCTACAAGACCACTATATGCCTCCAATGGGTTGCATGACAATTTCCTGCATGGAGCAGCAGACCGGATACTTTATTCGCCACTTTCTTGATGCCTTTCTCTCTACCCACTCTCTCTCTCTCTCTCTCCCTTCCTCCCTCCCTCCCTCCTGTAATGTTTGTCGTTTGTTTGCGCACGTCTCTGTATTGCTTTCCTCTTGGCAACTGTCCTTAGGCTCAAGGCCTCGATCCAAGGTGCATTGTATAGCACCATGCAATTGTACATGAACAATACGATAGAGCAAGTATGCTATTGTGAAAGAACTGTATCTTGACACCGTCCCTTGGTTTGATTCATTGTTGAATCACACCATCAATACAAACACTGTTGAAACTGAAAAGGAACATTATTGTACATAAAACAGTTCACATTGTCATCAAGTCTGTACATTTCTTCTTCTGCACTTGTCTCTCCAGCTTGTTGCCATCCATCGTGGTGCTCGTGGGCATTGTTGCCAGAGAGACTTGCAGCTTGTAGAGCCATTGTTCTACTCTTGCGACTCTTCCATCTGGTCGCTGGTCGATTGTCGAGGGCGTTTTGCGCCCTTTTCCTCCTCTTCGTCTTCTGACATTTCGACTTCAATAGTATGGGCTCTCTCTTTGATGTAATGGCTATGCTCTAAATGTCCACGCTGTTGTCGCTTTGGGATTGTCACGTGAAAGGTGTCAATCTCATACTCTGCCTTGTAGACTCCCAGGGCCAATTGTACATCATCTGGAAGCTGGGAATGTCCAAATTGTCCCAGGTGCGCTAACGCCATCCCGAAGATTGTATGATGAGGCGAATCCGTCGAGAGCATCATCATTGACTTCACATGCATAGTATGGCCATAGTTCCAGATCCAACCAGTCGTCCAGTTGTACCTGTCGAACTTGTCGGCTGCATTGTAGCTCAAGTGTACTGCTCTCAAGTTGTTCTTTTCCTCCATTGTCAGCCTATAGTTGTGAGGGGCATGCACTTGTAGGATCTGCACGCTGTATCCCCTCTGGAACGACGAAAGCTTCTTGCTTGTCAAGTGCGTGGCCATGTTGTAGGGATTGAAGCAAATCGCCAAAACGATTGTTTGATCGCTCGGCATTGTGTGTCCCATCGATTGATGGTAAGCGAGCCATTGGATTGCTTCCTCGGTTGTTGGGAGCATAATGAATTGCTCCCAATTCCCGGGCTTCCGCAGGTTTCCGGGAAGCTTGTCGATCTCATTGTTGTCGTTGAGCATCTGATTGTACTCAACTTCGGTCACGGCCGCAAACCAATAGTCCTTGTCATTGTCCAAACCATCGCACCATAGGCTATCCTTGCAGCTTGGTGGGATGAGGATTGTGCTTTCCACCCTGTCCTCATTGTAGAGGATCGCTCGATCCTCCCACCCATAGGGAGATAGTCGAGTTTGTGGGCAATCGCGGCTGATTCTGGTAATCCGGGATTGTCATCTCCATGGTCATTGTTGCCAATGTTGTTCTCCAGCAAATAGTTGATCCCGATTGCTCAGCGCTTGTGAGCAAGGGCGGCTGCGGTCAAAAAGATTGTTGACAAATTGTCAACTGAACACGCATTGTCTTTCAAATTCTAAAAGGCAAAACTTCAAACACATTGTTCATCGAATTGTTCTACGAGTCGACGACAGAAAAGATCGGATCCATTGTGAGACTGAAATCTTGTAGTACATATTGTCTATGACATAGTATGCACATAGTAGCTAAAGTAGTGTGCCATGGCTTGATGCCCCCGTGCGCGTATTGTACACGCATAGATGCTGCCAAGGTTGTGAAACCGTTTGTACGATCGTCGTTCAATTGTGGTGTTGTGGGCATTGAATGCCCGCCATGTAGAGGTGTTTGTTAAGCACCTCTGCCGGGACATACTTTGTCAGTATGTCTGCTGGGTTGTCATGTGTGCTGATCTTGTGTATTGACAGTATCCCGCTTTGCACCAGTTGTTGTATGAATAGGTACTTTAGGTCAATGTGCTTTGCTTTCTTTGATGAGCCAATTCTTGTCGCTATGCTCTTGCCGCTTGTGCTGTCGGTGTGTATGCGAATGTTCACCTTTGTTGTTGTTGCTTCCTTGATGAAATTTGCTATATGTAGTCCTTCTTGTGCTCCTGTGCCAATTGCATAAAGCTCTGATTCTGCTGATGATAGTGCTACTACTGCTTGTGTTCTGCTTCCAAATTGTACCACTGATCCCATCATTGTCACGATGAATCCACTTGATGATTTTCTTGCGCTTGGGCATCCTGCCCAGTCCGCATCGACATAAATGTTGAGGTCGATGGGTTCCTTTGTTTGTGGTGTATGTGTTGTCCTCAGGGTGATTTTGTAGTGTTGTGTTCCCCTGAGGTATCGTAAGAGATGTTTTACCTTGCGTAGGCTTTGTTGCGTCAGTTGTTGTAGGTCTCGCGCCAGTTCTTTTGTTGCAAAGCTGATGTCTGGTCTTGTGTAGGTCAGCCATTGAAGCTTTCCTACTGCTCTTCTGTAATCTGCATGTTCTTGTGCATCTAGAGGTGCATCATCGTTTGTGGATTGTTTCAGGGTTGCCGTCCCTGGAGCTGATGCTGGATTGCTTGCTTCCATTTTTGTTTCCTTCAGCAACGTGGTGATGTATTCTGGTTTGAGGCTCACCTCAAAGAAGTCTCCATTGTTGTGGATGTCTCTGCCAAGGAATTGGATTGTCTGACCAATTCCCAGTGTGCCGGTTGGTCGTAGTAGTACATGCTTTTGTACTTGATGAAAGTCTTGTCGACTTCCTGTTGTTGTTCTAGGAATAGTAGGTCATCCACATAGACCATCACAAACATTGTCTGTTCATTGTTCCTGTACACGTTGGGTTCACTTGTCAGTCGAGACAGTCCCATTTGTTGTAGGACTTGTGCAAAGTGATCCTGCCAGGATTTTGGACTTGATCGTAGTCCATAGATTGCTTTGTTGAGCTTCCATACTGTGGTTGTGTTGTGACCGCTTGGATATAGTTCTGGTGGTGGCCACATGTATAGGTTGTCTGTTGCTGCTGGCGCATGTAGGAATGCTGTTGACACATCTCCTGCTTGTATTGTCCAGTGGTTGCGCTGCGCCATTGTCAATAGGATGCGTAAGATCCCAAAGATTGGCGTGCTCGCATAGATGTTGGATTGTTTCCAAGTAGCCTTGTGCTACTATGCGACATCGCACTTCATCTTGTTTGGGTTTGTTGACCCACTTGGATTCTATGATCCTGTTCTTGCGTTCTTCAGGAACATCATTGTAGTTCATCTCTGTGAACACTCCTTGTGTCTTCATCGATTGCGCTTCTTTCTTCATTCCTTGTTGTACTTTCAATGGATCAAGACCTTCATTGTCGTAGACGAAGGGTTCTTGTAGCATCCTCTCCACGTCTGCTTCTTGTTCATCTTCACAGGATGCTGTGGTGATCTTGTCACCTTTCTTTGTGGTGATTGTCACTGCTTGTATTCTCATCTTTGCTTTTGGTCGTTCTTCATCTTGTCCTCGGTTTGCTGCTGTTGAGGACTGCGCTGTCCTTGATTGTTTGGATTGCGCTTCACCTGTAGGCTCCTCGCGTTGTCGCTTGCTTGCTGGTGGTAATGGCAGTGGTGGTCTTGCCATTGTTGTTGGTGAAGTTGCCAATGGTGATGTTGCCATTGTCATATCCATTGGCTGATGGTGTATTGCTCGCGCTGGTAGTGCCAGTGGCGTCTCTTGTTTTGTCTGTGTGCTTGTGTCTTCCACTGTAATGTCAGCTTGTGTGCCAATTGCTTGTTTGCTTGCGGTGTTGTCAGCTGGTAGAAGCAATTGCGGTGGAATTGCCATTGGTGTTATTGGCAAATTCCATGGATACGCGTTGATAGTATCCAATAATCGCTGGTCGTACTTGTCTGGCATAATCTGTCTTCGTATTGTTCTTGCTCTGATGACCTTGCCAGGGATGCCAACTATTGACTCTCCAGTCATTGTGTCTCTGCCAAGCCAGATTCCTTTGAAGAATCTTGGCTCCATCTTGGGTTGTGCTTTTGTGGTTGGTATCATGTATTGTACTGTTTCTGCCATCTCGCATAGTGGTGCTTTGTGGTCCTTCTGCCATCGTCTTTGGTAACTTGTTTGTCCGTCATTGCGCATGGCATACCTGTTCAGTAGCCAGGCTGCGTGCCGTACAATCCACGGCATGACCGGATGTTGTACGCTCAATGTAAGATTGTAGCTTGTGGTCACTTGTTGTACCAGTGCTCGGACTTATCCCATCAAGGTGCGATGCAATCGTTCAATGCTTCCTTGTGATTGTGACGAGTACGCCGGTGATTGTCGGATGTTGACGTTGTTTCCGAGCTTTTGCGCGACGGTCTTCAGTAGGTTCTGTATGTATTCTTCTTGGTCTGATTGTAGTGTTGTGGTTGAGAATGTTGCTTGTGCTCGTCCACACTCGAACATGAATGTTTGTAGACATCGTGCGAGATATTGTTGTTGTTGTTGACTCTTGTCTTGTACAAGAACTGCCATTCCCATGCCTATTGCTGTCAGTACTGGTAGTACTTGTTTGTCTCCAAATGCTTTCATGTAGGTGAAGTCCACTTGTATCACTGGTTGTTTGCTTGCTTGTTTTGGATGATTGTCTGTTCTTCCTTTGCTTTTGACACATATTGGACACCATGAGCGGTATGGTAGATGTGTCAGTTCATGTTCTAGTCTTTCTTGTCTTGTTGGTTGTTGCGGCGCCTTCATTCCTTTGGCGCGTTGCGCTTGTTGAGATTCATCTTCATTGTCCGTATCGTACTCGTACTTGTACGTCGCTTCTTCCTCGAAGTTTGTTGACCCAGTCCATTGTCTGTCAAGCTGTCTTGCTCCTGATTCGCGCCAATTGTCATGGATTGTGTATCCTCTTCCTTGTTCCGTTCTGTTCACGAATGTTGTCCGTGTCGGTTTGAGTCGTCCAATGTCTGGACCATCGTCTGTTTGTTGTGGTATGTACATTGTCGTCCGTACCTGTACGTGAACTCGTTTCCAATAGTGTCCTTCTCTGATCCAATAGTCTGTTGTTGGTGTCATTGTGGATGGATCAGGTACTGCCGTGGTTGTTGGCGCTGTTTTCTTCCTTGTGTGTCTGTATAGTGGCTCTCTACTTACCTGTTGCGTTCTCCCGTCTTGTTCCGGGAGTCGTACTGTTGTGGATTGGCGTCGCGCTTGTAGTGCCTGTGGCGCTATCTCTGTCTGCTCTGTTGTCTTCGTTCTTGTAGTTGCCGGTTGTGCTGGCGCCTTGTTCACTCTGAACCATGTTTCTCCTGTCCATGTGTCTCCTTGTATCACTCGTCGTTGTTCGCGCTTGCTCAAGTCATGGTATCGTTCAACAATGTCCTCGTTGTTCCCGTCTGTTCGTCGGATGATTGTTCGTCTGTAGTTGCTCAATGTCTCCAGTGGTACTGGGCAATTGTCGCCAGGAACAAAGAGAGCTTTCCTCTTGTTCCGGTGATACCGTACAAGGTATCCTTCATGGTTGTAGTTCCAATAGCCGCTGTTACCTCCAAGGACTTGTTGGGTCCATGCTTTGTCAGTGTTGTTGGGGCAATCATTGCAATCATGCCCTTTTGTGTATGTTTCAGCTGTAGTTGTTGATGTTGTCCCAGGTTCATGATTCTCGCTGGCAAGTAGTAGAGGTTGCGCTGCTGCGCCAAGGGAACATTGAATCCCTTGTCATGGCGCATTGTTGGAGTGTCGTTGAATCTGATGTCAAAGCCTCGTTCTGCCAGTCTTGTCACTGACAGGATTGGGTCATGGATGTCACACACGTAGAAGGGTATGACAATTGGTTGTCCTCTTGATTGCATGTAAACCCATCTTACTCCATAGCATTGTGTTGTCTTGTTCGTCACTGTCCTGAGGTTTGGGCTTCGTGCTTGGTCAATCTTGTACGCTGGATAGTTGTCTGCAAACCATAGTGGGCAGACATGTGTAGCTGCTCCACTGTCGATCATGATGTGTATAGTGTCTGTTGCGCCGCCGTTTGTTGGAGCTGGTTTGTGGTCATTGTCATGGCTGATCATGGCAATGACATGGATTGGTGTCATGTCATGGTTGCTTGTGGATGCAATTGGCGGAAGTGCCAATGGCTGTTGTGCCTGTTGTCGTGTGTGGTCCTGAAAGCGCCATCCGTTGTCATAGTAGTCATCGTACCATTGTGTTGTTGTGTCCTCAATGTCATTGCTTTCTCCTTGTCCAATGTTGTGTTTTGCCACTCGGCAGTCTTTGGCATAGTGCCCTGTTCGTCCACATCTGTAACATGTATCTGTCGCTTGTTTTCCTTTGTTCTTTCCTTTGATCTTGTTGTATCCTTTGCTGAATACTTTATTTCCTTCGTTGCCTCTTCCGAATGGATTGCCGAAGCCGATCGGACTGTTGTAGTAATTGTTGAATCCTTTTCCTCCATACTTTCCTTTTCCTTTGTAGTTGGTGTTGTAATTAATTGTTGTATCCGTAGCCGCTGTATCCTCCGTAGCCTTTGCCTTTGTTCTTTCCTTTTCCCTTTTCCTTTGTACCTGTTGTACTCGCCTTTTCCTTTGTGGATTGCATCAATGTCCATGGGCGCTTGTCCACCACCGAAGCTTGTTGCCACGCTGGATGATTGCGATCGTAGTTGTTGTAGTTTGCCGAATGCTGTTGTTGACCTGTAGTACTCGATGATTGTTTGTTTGACTCGTGCATAGTTTGGGCTTTGTCCTGAAAGCAGTTGTAGGTGTTGTTGTAGTGGTCCACTTGTCTCGTTGAGCAATACGGCAATCTTCACGGTGTCTGGGAGTGTTTGTCCATTGTCTCGCTCAAATCGTTGTAGCTCAAATTCCCATGTGGAAAAGGATTCTTAGAAGTTGTTCTTGTCAAATGTTGGTTTCAACAATCTTGTCAAGTGTCCTATAGATCTTGTCTCCAATGTGATGGAGAAGCGGATGCACAATTGTCGGTACATCTCGAAGCCAATTGTGTTGGTATTGTCTGCAGACTGTAGCTGCTGCCCCTGTTGTGGTGTTGATGAGGATGTACCTCAAATCAGTGCTGAGGCGAACATGTCGTTCACCATCTTCGATTGTTGATGCTGCTGCTCGTAATTGTAGTTCAGTGAGTTCTGCTGTGGCTTGTTCCGCTGCTTGTAGCAAATCTGTATAGTCGTTGTCTTGCAATCCCATGTATGCTGTGAACTTGTATTTCCATTCCTCGAACGTGCCATAGTCTCCATTCAAAAAGGGTGGTTTGAGTTTGTATCTGTTCATGTTTGCTATGATTGCTGTTGTCTCATCTTCTGGAACTGGAGGTAGGCCATCTCCAGTTTGAGCTGCTGCTGGTCGCGCTGCCATTGTTGCAGCTGTACAAGCTACCTGTTGTAGGGTCAAGGCTTGTCCTCTGTTGTCGGTGTTTGTATGTTTGCTCCAGTTGTTGTATTGGAGCTCACCTGGATTGTTGTTACCAGGATCCTTGCTCCGCTACCATGTAAAATTCAGCAGCTGTTTGTTTGTCGTTTGTTTGTGCACGTCTCTGTATGGTTTTCCTCTTGGCGACTGTCCTTAGGCTCAAGGCCTCGATCCAAGGTGCATTATATAGCACCATGCAGTTGTACATGAACAATACGATAGAGCAAGTATGCTATTGTGAAAGGACTTGTATCTTGACGCCTCCCTCCCTTACTCTCTCTCTCTCTCTCCAAAGCTCTTTAGGTCTTACATCAGGTCGGCAGTCACGCTCAGCTTCTCGAAGAGCGCCTCAAACGGCTCTTTGGATGTGTCAAACCCCGTTTCCAGGGCACTTTGTCCAGTTGGCATGACGAAATCGATAGCAGGGGGCCAGGACTCCCTGGTGTGCGTCCTGGCCAACGAAGACCGCGCACCAGGGAGGTGAAAACGCACCTGCTCTGGTTCAACTGTTGATTGATTGCTGTCTGTGGTCCCCTGGTTTGTTTCATGGTGGTTCATGTACCTGAAGTTGTTTCGTTCTAATTTGTTCTAAACTAGTTAGAATACCTAGAACTCTAGGTAGAGCTCAATCTGTCTCGTGCGTTGATGCGTTGTAGAGCGCCAACGTGGGAAAGAGCCAATGAGTCTCTGGTACCACCCGAAATCAAGCTCTTACGAGCTTCTTTTGAAGTGTGTGTGTGTGTGCAAGAGAAGATTTGGTTTGTAATTTGCATGAGATTGCAGAGCTTACATCTTGGGAGTTCCTCCCAAAGCTGCCTCAGCTAGCTTTAGCCTACCTCTTGGAATGGCTTCACTATCTCGGACAATCTGAGATAATTAGCTTGTAAATGCTTGTAGCTCAAACATGCTCAAGTTTGTCAAGCTACAAGTACCTGACTAAGTCGCCTTCAAAGGCAGAGTGAGGTTCGAGCGGAGGAGGAGGTCGTCTAAATCGTCCATTCCCACTGTGACCGACGGCGGTGGCGCGTCGGTGTTGGCTGTGGCACTCCGGAAGAGCTCCGGCCGTGTGAAGCTTTGCAGGCGGCCGCGCAGAGCGTCCTGGACGGCTGTTGAGCGTCCGCTTGCGTGCTAGTACAAAATCCCAGCCCGCTCTGAGGCCCAAGAGTGGTCCTAAAATGTCCTAAGTCCATTCTTCATGCGGGCTGCTGATTCACCAGTGTCATTTTTGTAATTGGTTGTCGCGTCGCAGTCAGTCGAAGTCGTAACGAAAAGCAAGGCGTGCGGGGGAGCTGTCGAGCATGAAGATGCATGAAGATTAAAGCAAACTTCATAAGCCAAGTTTGCATCAAACCTCAACAAATCGGCAACCACAGGCTCCCATCCCTCTTCCGGTCCAGCAGGGCACTTCCACAGTCGCTTGAAATAAGGTCTCGGCCCTGGTGTGGACATAAGCACAAATATGCTAAAAGCATCTAAAAGCATCTAAAAGCTGGTTTTTGCTGCGGTCAAATATACGAACACCGCTTCGTTTGAGCTTGTTCTTCGTTTCTTATGGTTTCCCCAGCAAGTATCACATTGCCACAGGTCACAAAGACTGGTTGCGTGGGCCCATGACTAAATAGAACAAAAACTGCATATCACTCTTCACAGTAAATTGTGCATAGGCTGCAAATAAGCTCAATGTGGCTGAATTCCCACACCTCCTGCCGCAGCAACCTCTGTGGAACTCGCTTCATTGCCCGGAGCGGCAAGGGGCGGATGCGACCACCTCGACTCCTCTGGACAAAAAGAACATGGCCTTCAAACTCTCATGCTTCGTGCTGTGACTGCAAAGGCATTAGTGAACATTGTCAACCGATAAGCGTCTACGGGCCGTTTATGTCTAGCTTGGGGAACTCTCCTCCGAATGGGCCGATGTGGAGCTTCAGGAACTTCAGGTGTTGTCAATGCCTGCAGATGACACCAGGATTCTACCAACCCGTGACAGTAGCCTTGCAATGTATCCCACCTATGCATCTTGGACGCGCTTCTCTGTCTACATAGATCCGAAAACTTTAGTGAACTCTAGCGCAAGTTTTGGAACACCTGATTTGTCGTAGGGAATGGCAGTGGTTCGACTCTGGAATTCTGGGAGTTGACAAATGGTGGTGGTCAGCAGTTGCTTTGCTGCATAATGGCCGGCACTAATGTGCGACTTGTCGTTAAACCGGCCTCTGGAACCTCCAAAAGCGTCTCCTCTGGAGCCGCCTTCGAAGCCAAGAAGAGATGTGTCAAATCGACTTCAGCTTTGGCCTCGCCGGCTTCGTTCGCTTCATTCGCCTGCTTTGATTGACTGGTAATTCCAAGAGCACGCGGCGAATCCGATGCCCATGGGGAAGGGTCTTGCACAGGTGGAAGTGCCTCCTTTGCCTCACGTGGCTTTCACAATTGGCACACAAACTGCGTGAGGATAACAATTGGCACGCAAAAATGCAATCAAAGCAGGACAGCCTGCGGCAAGGTTTCCTGAAAATAGTATGGCGAATCGAAGCAAAAGCTGCAAACGCTCAACATGCAAAATTGTTTGGTGTAGACAGCTTGGCGGGCACAAATGCCGTCCTTAGACATGTCGACACCTATCCAATCGCTGCTGGACGGCCTCAATCCCAAGTTCACAAGCAAAGGTAGCTCAGCATGGGTGATCACACCAAAATGTGCATCTCTTTCTATCTCTTCTATACCGTCTAGAGTCTGATGACCTTTTCAAGTTGCCAATGAACATCTATTTTGTCCAGCCGTGCGGCTTGCTGCGAAAGGACACCTGGAAATTTGGGTCCACCTGCCCATTGAACGGGACATGCCATCCTTGGTAGTGCCAACATGGCAAAGCCCACCAAAGTTCTAAGCCCTCGGCCTGACTCCGGAGGTTCGTTCCGAGTCGTGTCTGGATGAAACGCGATGACGTCGTCCCCACCGACAGCAAGGCCAAACCTCACAATGCTTGAGAGTCTGCGGCGCCAAGTCACATCTCTCTGTGCCAAGCGACCACCACCCCGAACAGTTTGACGAATCAGACCAAAAGTAGAGGCTGACCTACACCCAGCGTAAAGGTACGGCGAAGGCAGCTGTTTGCCTAGGCTTTTGCCTTCGTAAATACAGAACTACAACAAAAGCAAAGCACACCAGATCTTTGTCAGGAAACGAATCTCATGCTCATGGATGCCCAACCTCTGGGGATCCTTCCAATGCCGGCTTGATGTAAACCGTTTTGCCATGGTGTGGCTCACTGCTCCTGAGACCACCCAGGCAAAAACAGCAGAAAGCAGCAACACCAATCACTTTTGCCTTGGAAGGGAGTCTCGGTCGGTGCTCCGAAATACTATATAAAGGTTCCACAACTGTCTCAGCACGCAAACAGCTTCTGGCCAACCACCCAAGCCAGAGCTCCTGTAGGATCCAGAAAGCAAGTTAGCAACAGCCGGATCTGAACAATCTGAGACATGGAGCGTCCGGGGCGCATCCTGCGACAAATTGAATTCCGAAAGCAGATCCAGAAGCGATTCAATCAATCATGTGACCTTACAGTACGTATGCATGGATGTCTGATCAATTTGTGCTCTGCTTCTTCATTCTTCCGCCCGTTCATTTCACCATCGCATTGTGCAGCAAACAACATGTCGCAATGCAGGAAAGTCCTTCTTCGAAGGTTTGCTGATCTTCGCCTCTATCCATTGCGTCAACCAATCCGGAACATGGAGTGGCATGATGTCATCGCCAACATCATCAACCTGAACTGAGGCAAACGCATTTATGACGTTAAGTTTCTCTAAGGGACTAGGAAAGAGAAGTTGCAAAAGAACTCAGGAAGCTTTCCTACAAGAAATGGGGACGAATGTCGGTCTCTCTCTCTCTCTCTCTATCTCTCTCTCGCTCTCGCTCTCGCTTTCGCTCTGGCTCTCGCTCTCTGAATGCATGATTCAACTGAAGACTAATTTGCAATAGTTTCTGGACTGTGTAGTATTGGGCTTCAAAAACTAGGCGGTATTCAAAGATTTGCTAGCACAATGTTGCTTGCATGCTCTCTTTCCCTGCCTTATTAGCCTTGTCTGATGTGATGGCTGCAATCATGGATTCTGCGCAACGAGGCAACAGCTCCAAGAATGTGGTCTCTGCTTCAGCTTCTTCCTCCAGCAAAAATACAAACCACAAAAAGAACCCATGGGAACACAGCTTCAAGAGTGGCCTGAAATCTATCTAGCGAGAGCTATTCTGGGTATCCAAAAGCACCTCTACAAAAAAATAACTATAGTGAATTCATCTTCGTGATTCTAGTTTGATTTGGGCCAGAGTATTCAAGTGTGGATGGCTATCTAAAAATACATTCGTCTTCATTTTGCATGATGTCCTTACCTGTGAGCCTTACTTCTGAGCATATGGTTCGGTGATACAAAGATCCACAAAGTCAACCAATATAAGCACCTGTAATTTAATGTTTGATGTAATGCTGGTAATGTTGGTAATGCTACTTATACAAGAATGCTTTTCTGACATCACAAAGGCAGATCCAACTGGTTGTTTATGTGTGGCTTCATCGCCCAAAATAAACCACCTGCCTGCTGGAACTTCAGCAGAACTTCATGCTGCAACTCTTCTGGCCAGAAGCTGCGCAAGACCTGACACAAAGCTTTTGTGGACATTACGAGTAAGTGGCAAAGCTGCCACCACATTGACGGCCAAGTTTAGAACCAAACAAAAACTCATTTGACCTGCAAGCCTTCTCATCAACCTGTACTCCCATTTGCGCTGTTCGCATAATGAAGCATCCCAACACCACAGCCAGTGGATTTGTTGTTCCTGGCCAAGCTTTGCCACTTTCATCAATCTTCTCGGCCTTGACTTAACAAGTGAAAGCCACATGGTCCTTCAAAAGCCAGCTTCTCCCAAAGCTGGTGGCCACGCTGTTGCAGGGTCGGCTGGGAGAGTAGAGCCTCTTGGCAAGGGCACATTGGACAACTAACATCGGTGCAATCCTTTTTGGACAAGGGGCCGAACGACACCATATAAACAAATTTCGTACAATGAGTGTTGAGCCAATGACAGTGCTGTGTCTATTGTGCACAAGAAACGGAGTCATGCAATCTCTCTGTCGCCAGATGCAACGCCTCAAACTCCTTGCGTAGGCTTTCCATGGCGCCATAGCGTAGTTTGCACTTGTCCGAAAACAAGAAATCAACAAAGCGGTTGTCACCTCAATTCCCACACTCGAATCAGGAGCACCTAGATCCACCATTCAATTGCCAACAATATTCACAATACCTAAACCCGACAATGCACAGGCACTGTCAAGAAACCTGGGACTTTGCCAGGAGCTCCGCGATTCAGAGCATCTTGGGGCGAAAATTGTTCTCACAGAGATGTTTGATATCATGACCTCCAACGAAACCTGTTGGAAAACGTTGGAAAATCCAAGCATGGAGTCTCAAAGGTGAGTTGAGTCTTTGTAATGCCAAATATGTTCCTTTCATGGCTCACGGCCGAGCATGATTTTGCACAGACTTTGTCTGCAGCACGTCACATCCACTAGGCAGCTCTTATGCCAGCAATCCAAACTTTGCGATGTTGAGCCTCGTGTGGAGGCATTTCGGAGCGAATTGGCAGGAATCAAGAAGAATAAAGAACACGGATGAAAGAAGGAAGTTAAGGGCACTTTTAATCAGGCGTTGTGAAGGATGCCCTTCTAGTTTTGGTCAGGAAATATATATACACATATACAATACATGTCCACCGACCCCAGCGAAGAGGCGGGAGTGGGCCAGAGAATCACCGGTTTGGGTGGTATTGTGAACATAAACATAGAACGTAAACATATAATAAATTACAATAATGGAGCCCAGCGTCTGGAGTTGTTCGTTGATCTCACCCGCTTGCCTACTCTTTTTTGATTTGACGCTTCAACGGCTGCTTTTCATGTTTTTTCAAGAGTCGGTTGATCTGATTCGGTGGTGGTGGGCACAGGGTGCAAACGCAGTTGATGCTTTGGTGTTGATATGCGTGTAAAGTTGCAAACTCACGTTAAAGCCGCAGAGCGTCTGTCAGTCTCCTTTTTGGTCGGTGGTGATTTTTTTGGGCCGTGATGCTGCCAGTTGCGCGTGGCCAAAGAATACAAATTGAAGCACAGGTTTTGCGTGCATTGTGCAGGGGCCTGAAATCACAACGCAAAGGTGGTGATACATACACCGTATATTTGTTGTTTTCACAAGTCCCGGACCCGCTCTTGTAGCTTCGCTGGAGCGCTCTGGCCAGCGCTTCATTCGGCGCAGCTGGGCGGCCAGATCTATCCTCTGACATTTCTGGGCTGAAGAGGCTGAAGAGTTTGACTCAATCAAATTTCTATCAGGGTCAGTGATTTCCTTACATAAAATAGATTATTCTCAACGGCTTAAATGGATGTTTGAAGCGTATTGCCTCACTAACTGCTTGATCCTGATCTTTGCAACGGACTTTTGCTGTTGTTTCGAGACATTCAGCAGTCCAGCGATAGGCGATCGGCAGCGTAAAGGAGGACCGGCTCCTCCGTGCATTCGATAGAGATGAGCACAGCACTCCTACTCGAGCTCGTCAATCACACCTCAACATACGTCAACCAAACCGTGCCGCATGCCATCTATTCATCCCCATGGCACCTCTGCACCCGGCAGGAAAAGACCCAAGATCACGCGAGCATCGAACTTCCGCTGACTTGCGGTGATGACTCCAGCCTCACCAAACTTGGAAAAAGATGAAAAAGCAAATGTTTCACACAAAATCACCTTTGAGGTATGATGAGATCTCATTAACACGCTTCTTTGTTTAAGGCATCAACTTCAAAGGAACCTTGGCGGCAACAAACAACCAAACCAAGCATACGAAAGCGATTTTGTTCCAGCCTGGAACCTCAGGGCGGCTAAACCAATAGACACGATCTGCAGGGTGCGATTTGGCGAAAGGTGTTGGACAAGCCCACGGCAATTAGTAGCGTCCTTGCTCCTAGTAGCGATGCCAGGAGCCCCTAGTAGCATCCTTGTTCCTAGTAGTTTAGTAAGGCAAGGAGCCAGCGTCCTTGCTCCTAGTAGAAAACTTATAGGTTGGAGGCCACGGCAATTTGGTTGGAGGTCATAGCTCTAAAATTGGCCTGTCCTCGATCAAAGCGGTGTTCCCCTCCAACACCCTGGCACAAAGAATTCAGTTGAGTTACACGAAAAACTTCACACTACCACAAACTCTCTAAGGCTTAGCTTAGAAGGTCAGAGACTGAAGAATGAATATAAGCTGGCAAGAATGAAATCATGTTGGATCATGTTCAGGAAGGCTGTCAATTACTGGGGTTATTTTGAAAGCTGAGAGCATTGAAACCCGACCTCCCCAAGCAGCAAGCGGTCAGTGAGTTCTCGCAAGAAGGTACGGTGCGTAGTGGCACCCAGCTGGTGCCAGCTGCCAAAGGCAAAAGAATCCAGAATGCTACATTGCTCACTTCCGACACATCCATGATCATTTGGTTCAGACTGCTAGATTGCCAGGTCAGTGTCTTTTACAAGTGCCGAAATCATTTGAAGCTGCCTCACAATCTCAACTGGCTGCAATGCCCGGAATAGCCGCCGGTTGAGCTGTGAGACCATGGCACTCAGCCGTTGTTCAGTTTCCCTGCTTGATATTTCTTGATAAACTGAGAGGTTGCTCCATGCGTTTCGAGGGTGATGGCTCAATCCAAGGTTTTGTCATACAGTACATTATCTTGATAGTAATCAGATTTCAGGATTTCAGTTGGATTGTTCAAAGTCCGCCTTGCACTTGTGACAAATATTATATCGAATCTAAAATACGTACCAGATGGCTGCAAACTGTTCATATGCAAGCACGGTGCCCACGTTGACAATTCGTTGTGTGCCACGTACGTACAGGCAGTGCCTGAACTTGCCAAGGGAAAGCTGTCTTTTTGATGATACAGTCGAACAGACCACCACCAATTGAGACAAAAGGCGGTGGGTCAACGGAGACAACGACGGCTCTGCCGGAGTTAGGATCATCAAGCCTGCCAAAACAGACCGCATTTGCCCTTCGGGCAATGATCTTGCAGGCCGATACTGTGCAGCAAAACTTGTACTCCACCTGAGCCAGGTCCTCTTTTTGTATCTGTCAAATTTCAAGCTATCGCAAACATGGCGTGGATGTGCTGGGCCTAGTGCCTCTGACCTGGCTGTAGGGGGCATCAGGATTGCAGCAGCACGATTATACAGGGCAGAAAGGCAAACTCTGTGTGCCCTCTGCAGAGGTGTCAGGCTCTCCGGACACCAGATCAAAGCGCCGGTGTCAGACGATGACAAGTAATGACAAAACAGCTGACTCCAAACACAACAGGAGTTGATCCTCTATGCAAACCTGGAAAAAGACAGAGTACGGGGTTGATTGTGGTTCACCATTATTGCTCCCCTTTGAATGTCTCGACGCATTACGCTGGCTTCATCTGCCATGACTGAATTAGTGAATTTCGCAACCTTTCCAATTTAGGAAGTGCGCATCTCAATACATATGCTGCAATGGAAACGTGCCACGAGGCTGGTAAATACGTGCCCATTCCTGAAACCCTTCATTCTAAGAAGCATTCGGCTGCCGGTGGTGTTTTGCAGTAGTTCTCCACGACTTTCTCAAATGTCCAAGAAGGATGCTGCATGCCTACGAATTGCCAAAGCATCATCTCTGTAAGGCAAGCAGCTATTGTGTTGATCGTACTCCAAACCGTTTTCTTCCAGTCGGCACAATTGGTTGGATTGAGGATGCAAGTCTAAGAAGGACAAACTAGACATGAACATAACAGACGAATCAAACAAACGCAATGTCGGCTGCACGGTCAGCAGAGCAGTCCCGAAATACTAGCCGTCCAGATCTGCCGGAACTGTCTAGATTTCTATATATATATAGGAATTGTATGGAATTCTCAATTGTGCTCTCCTTTGAGCATACGCAACCGTTACAAATAAGAGTTGGGGTAGGATGTGCGTTCTACAACACACACCAGGTTCAATACAGTCTCTAGAGACCCTAGTGCAAGACCTCGCAGTGTCTGAAATGTTGAGAGCACAGAGCAGGGCAATCTGATGCAAAAGAGCCAAAGAATGAAATGAAGCTAACCGAACAAAAGCTACTAGTAACAAGGGCATCGCTACTAGGAGCAAGGATGCTACTAGGGGCTCCTGGCATCGCTACTAGGAGCAAAGGATGCTACTAGTAACAAACCGAATTAAAACGATGGACGGAGCCGAGCAGGCAAACAAAGGCGGAAGCAAAACAAGGATCAAGCGGACCCCCTGGGACCGTCCATGCCAAGTAAGCAGTGGTGACAAGCCTCGGAAATTGAAAGTATCCGAATGTAGTCGTGAATGTGTTATCCACATTATGATGACCTTTCCTTTGCATGCTGATGCTATCTTGATCTATCTTGTCCATTCTCCTTTGTTAAGTGGGAACTTCATAAAACCTCAAGAACAAATGGAAAGCCCCAAGGTCATCCGAAGTGCTCTCGTCGCAGAAGGTCTTGATGACATCGTTCACGGTCAATGAGGAGGACTTTCCATTCTCGGCGTGGACTCTTTGAAGGCCCTTTTCGGCCAAGGGTTCATCCACATACGCCAGTTTCATTAAGGCCCTCCAGGCCTTTCCATCAACCTGAGCATGATGAAACATTGCACAAATAGAATCGAAAACTGCCAAATCATGGCCAGAGCAGCTCTGATCGCAAGGCAAGTAGCTTCCTGACCATCCATCTGGCTGGCCCATTCCTCGACTCTATCTTGGGTCTCAGCGAACGGCGCCAGCAGCAAGACTTCCAACACCTACGGCAAGCTTGGGAAGTGGAATCTCTTGAAGGATACTTGTAGACTTGCCGTAGGCTTCCTATAGTCATTTCTTCTCCAAAATTCAACGCACTGAACGCCATTCCCAAGTAATGAACGAAACGAACGCAATGAGGCAACGAAAACTCACCCTTCATCGTCATTATACTGTACTTGTTTCCCATTTGTATGTCAACGAACAATGCCTGTTTTGGATGTTGCTGGGTTCATTCGACGGACCTCTGTCTGCATAAAGACTGCCCAGCTGGATTCCGTGGAGTGTGTAAAGACCTCAGCAGGTGGCGATCAAATGAAAAACATACAGAGAGGCTGCAGATTCACAGCATGAAACCAAGCACAAACAGGGAGTCGGGCATCAGGACCAAGAACTTCCTTGAAGGTATGCGACATTGCATGCCTCGTTTCGTGCAAATGGTTTTCTGCTTTCTGTGAACTTTCAATGGAATCTTCCTAAACCTGGCACCGCTATGTAGGTGACCATGTTGGACCGCTGGAAGGTGATCAAGCAGTGTTGTGGGCCTCCCCGGTCTCAAAAAGGACTTGAGGGAAGAAATTACACAAGCATAGACCCCAAACAGCTTGAAAAAATTCGCTTAGGTCACTTAGGCCAATATTGTATGATCAAAAGTCGATTTCTTGGCACGCCCCACCTTGGCCCCAAGAGCAAACTGCTTCATCAATGAATCTTTGTCGGCATTGACATCGCTCAGTAAACCGAGCCACAGAGACCAGCCACAGAGTTCAGGGGCGCGGCCAAGACAAGGACAAGAGGAGGACAAGAAGAGGACAAGAGGAGGACAAGGCCTGGACACAGAACAGGGCCCAGGCACAGAGGACAAGAGGTGGCTTAGAAAGTGCTGCCTGCCACGGAATCTGCATGTGGAGGTTCACAAACACATCGAGATTCGCCGGTGACCATGGTATGTGTTCAAATGCCATCCCACCTGTAAAGAAACACATTTCGCTCTCTACGCTCTTTCCACCTGACGCCATGCATGTCCGTGCATCATTGCAAGGTCAGGAATTAATTACCCCATACGGTCTGCCCATAAACTGCAAACAATCATTTCACTCGATGCGACCATCATCCAAGGAGGACAAGGCCTGGGCACAGAACAGAGCCCAGCCACAGAGGACAAGAGGAGGACAAGGCCTGGACACAGAGCCCAGCCACAGAGCCCAGCCACAGAGTTCAGGGCCGCGCCAGTGAGTGTGGCCAGCTCTTTTTTTCCAAGATAGAACCGCAACAGTAAACTGTTTGGGGAAAAAGAGAAATGGAGCGAACAATCGAAAAGACAAATAATGCTTTTCTGCCAATTGAGCAGCTGGAAGGCCAGCATGTGTCTCGGAACAACTCCACGGTCCCAGTGAATCTGCGCAATTCCACGCATCCGCTGCTTAGCTTTCAGGATACGACCTGCATCCAGGTCATCCTTAGGTGATTGTTCCATTCTGTGACAAACATCGCCTTGAGGGGCGGTCCCCAGTTTAAACGCAAACTTAATTGCTGACCCAGTCTGTAAGCAACTAAAGTTGGTGCAAGGCCAAGCATTGCATGCGTGAACTGCTACCAAAAAATAAACAGGGCAGAAAACACTAATCAACACAAAGTAGGCGCACAGTGTCTAGAAATCTTGCTACGTTTGTCTCCATGACATCACCGAGCGTCAGCGACCTGAATCAGAAAACCCAAAAGCATAGCCAAATGCTGTACTTCATGCTCGGGATCTCGAAACAAGCGAGACCATTCACAGTATCCCCCCACGATGCCGTGGAGGTTCCGTACTAGCATTGTCACGAATTGTGGTTCTTTCTTGGCTTGCAGAAGAATATCTTTCACTGCGCGGTAGACACCTGGCCGTTCGCTGTCCAAATCGACGAGACCTGCCAGGAATGGGGCCACGACAAAGTGGCTCCACACAACTGACCAGGAAATCTCGGCTTGAAGAGATAGACCGTTCAGGATCGTACTGACCGTTTGCAGAAGAGCGATCTGAAACATGCAAACATACTCGGGTTCCACTCCATAGGATCGGTGGCGCAATCCAAGGGAGGCCATATCTCTATCCACTTTTCTGAAGTCTTTCTCTTCCAACCAACTCAAAGCCACCTGAACGAAAGCGGCAAAGAGAAGTGCCTGGGTGCGCATTTTTTCTCTTCTGAAGAGAGATGCCAAGGCAGGATCTTGGGTGAGGCACTGGTATATGCATTCACCAAATTCTTCTAACTTGAAGCGGCGCCAGTGGCTGAAAACTGTACCGAACATGCTATCCAGAGAACTGTAGCCGGAGGTTTGATTGAATGCTTCTTGGCAAAACTTACCCAGCAGCACAATATGCGAGGCATCTGGATATTCGGCAAAGATGTCCATCAAGCACTTCCGGAAATTCTGAAGCGACACCTTGCCGCTCTGCTCGATATCTAGAAGGTTGAATCCGGCAAAAATGTGGCTCTCTGAGATGCCCATTTCTTGCAGTGCAAGGCGAAAATCTGAATAAGATATCGCCGATGGATCACTTTGCGCCAGCTTTGCAAATGAAGCATCCAATTGATCCATGCAGTACTCATAATGACAGCGAAGATACATGAAGGCATTCCTCAACTCACAAATCACTCAAAAGCAGTAATTTATGTTTAACTGATTTACTGTAACTATGTGTGTGCATCGATTGTCATTTATCTCATCTAGCGAGCCCGTGAACCAAGTCAGGCCAAGGTGCTTCTGGACAATAGTGCTCACGGCGGCCTTCGTGAGAAGTACAGCCATTGTTCCATAGGCGCTCACAAACTGACTCTTGGGTGCCATATTCGCGAAGAAAAGTAATTGAACTTTCGCATCCGCATCCCAGTCCGGCATGTTTTCCCAGATCAGTGGACCAGCTGATAGCACGATGCAATAAATCAGGCATATCGCCACACAAATCCGCATCACATCTTTGGGGATGTCGGCGGCTTCTGCCAAAATCAGCAAGGAAGAGAATTGAAGGACGATCACTAGATCGATGCCCCATGAAAAGTAGTCGTGCACACTTGCCACATCATCGCCCGAGTCGCGTAGCCGATATCGAGAAAATGACCTAGCCGCCCAGCCCCGTGCACAGCAAGCTATTATCGCCTTCAGTGCGGTACAACGCCATCAAGATCATGGCGGAACATATTCGACGGAAGTTTGTTTGTGTAACATTGTCAAATGTGAGGTTGCTCAAGAATCCCCTCAAGCATAGCATTCACACTCAAATGAAAAAGCAAGTGTCAGGAATATGCATGTCCTGTTCATTCTTCGGTGGTGTCAACACTGCAGCAGTTACTTGGCCTATGAGTGTCCCATTTCTCACTGAAGTTGGCCTATGGAGTTGGCCAGGAGTAGGAAGGAACTGTGTGGATGGAGGGAGGGTTGTGAAAGGAACTGTGTGGATGGAATTGGGAAAGTTTTCAGTCAACCTTCACTTGATTGATTTCAGCGGAAGCATGCTCGAAGTTCTGGTAAGGGATCCGCTTAAAACCCTGATGGAGGTCATGCCTCAGATATTCTTTCGTGTCTTGGCCCGAGGCCAAATATGATTTGGAATGCAATCTACTTTGCAAGCTATATATATATATATGGATCGTTTCGGCTGGTTAATTTCAAGTTTTGGACGCTGAATGGACTGTTCAAAGTCTTTAATTCCTTGCGATACGGCGATACCCACCAACAAGAACCATAAGAGAGCTGATTCTTGAGTAGGGATGCTGCCAGTCAGAGCCTGCAAGAAGTTTTGACCTGTTCCAATTTTCGGAGATAAACTTGACATGTCCAAGTTGCCCATGGGTCGAAGGTTCGCAGGGTCATCCAAAGCAACTGACTGTGAACTCGTGTGAGCACGCTCAGCAAAGCCACACCAAAAGCCAGAAAGGACACCACTGACATGATTGACGATTCCAGCGTCGGCTCAAATATCCGCACTGGAGTTTGGTGTTCTCCTGGAACCACAGACAGATTGTAGAAGGCTCCAAAGAAATCTGCTGTATGTAGACCCAGAGCAATAATAAGTGCTACGACCGGAGGCCACTTCTTGCGCAGAAGCCAGTCACCAACAGCCATGTTGGACATCATATGCTCAGATAGAATGTATGCCCTAGCAATCGGCTTCACCACCATGACACGTCCTCTTTTTCCAATCCTGTCGGACACACCCTGACGTGTCACTTCCGTGCCAGCAGGGACAACACTTGCCATTTTCCTTTGTGTGAGTGACCGGCTCTTCATCCACCTCATGGTAGCTACAAAATGGGCGTTCGGCAACCATCATTCAAAATCAAAGGAGACATTGTGACTTGAGCAAATTGAAAGGACGGGTGTGATATCATAGTGGCTAGTCTCTGAATATCAAACAAAATTGTAATTGCCCTGCGACTTAATATGTGTAGATACAGGTAAACGACCGATAACTACCAACAAGTCGCACCTGGTTTTCCTTGAGCCAAACGGTAGTAAAGTGAGACATGTATACGACATCCTAGCGTGAAACAACACCCCCCGCTGAACGAAAATGGGAGGAGTGAAGTTATGTACAGTGCATTAATTAAGGACCTACGAAGGTATCCGGTCCCCCGGTACGTGCGAAGCATCGGACCGGAACGTGCCTTGAGATGGAGAGGATGGTTGACCTCAAGGACGGATCACATATGGCACTGTCATGTTTTGATGCTAGGGTTGAACATGTCTCAACTGATTCATGCATGAAAGTTCAAAGCAAGCTCACAAAGATAATCTCTTTTGCGCAGCGGAACTGGGAGTGCAATGCCAGCCTTTTAGAAAGCAGGAACAAAGCCATCAAGGCACACGCTCCCGCGTGGCGACAAAGCACAACAAAAGATGTGCGCTCTTTGTTGCAAGGATTGAGAGCCAAGTTCATCGACCTGAACTCAAACGAATTAGCTGCTGGTTTCAGGCAACCGGTCCCCCGGTGCATCACAGAAACGGTCATCCAGGCAACCGCTCCCGCGGTGCGTTGAGGGAAAGACACAGTGCACAAAGACAGCCGAGTCACCCGTAGATTTTATTCTCTTCTCCACAGGCAACAGCTCCCGCTGTGCGTCGTGTTCACCACCTGCGCTGACTCCACCAGTCGTGTCCTCGCCAGTCACTGCCACGACCGCGATCATCTTGCCACCAGTTGCGGTTGGATGAGGACCACCAGGAAGACGATGAGGATGACTGCTGCCAATCATGGTATTGATCACTTCCGGCAGCTCCTCGCCAGCGTTGCTCTGATGTCTCGGCCTGAGTACGTGTTGCTCTGGCCAGACTTTCACCCGGACCTGGTGCGGCCTTGGCCTTGGGAATCACAAGTGCCCTTGTTTCTTTCACAAGGTTGATATCCAAGCCAGGTACAAATTGAGCATCGCCCATCACGAATTCCAGGAGTTCATCCAACACATCATCAGGGTCCGTCTTCTCACTTCGCCACTCTCCTCCAAATCCCAGGATTGCGGGTCGTTTTGCACCTTGGCAATAGTCCGCAGCGAAAGTCTCAGGACGGTGCAGCCTGTTCTTCCAATAAATGAAGAAGTCCTCGCTCAGGTCAGCATCATTCCCTTTTGCTGGTTCGTTCATGAAGATGACCTTGCCAGCGTATCGATGACCGATTCCACGAGCAATCATTTCCCTTGTCCTCGGAGGGTCAGGGATGATGGCATCTGACAGTCGTTCCAGGAATTGAATGCAGATTGGAGAGAGGTCTTGGGCTGCGCAGTTGAACGCGTAGAAAGCGTCAACCAGCTGTCGCTGCGATACCGTCATGGACATCTTGTCCGCCTTCTGGACATGGCTTTTGGCGTTCGCTTTCAAGATGTTGATGCCCGAACGAGAAGCACGTTGAACTTCATGGCCAGGCGTCCCCGCCGGCGTCCTCCTCACACCTGTTCCTTGCAGCCTGTCCTCAGGTACCATATCCATCGTGACTTCGATACCGAGATCTGCTGCAATTTCCTCGATCCGAATGAGCTGAGCAGCTTTACACAGATCCGAGGCATTGTTGAGGAAGGTGCCGCATGTGATGCAGGACATCATGCCATGGGTGTAGGTATTTGTGCACGTTGGGCACTGAGCCTCTGGCATCTGAATGCCCTCAACGACCATCCATCGAGTGTTGCCAAAACCCTCAGTCTCGGGGTGGATCTTGCGCCAATCAAACCGAGGTCGGTTGTAGTTGGGCAGCATCTCTTTGGGCGACACTTGGTTCCTGTAGGCGTTGAAGTTGGGCCTGCGAACGACATACGTGACCTCGTATGTTTCCAAATCAGGATTCTGTTTTCCTGATATCATTTGGTCCTTCACGCCTGGGCGTTCAAACAGTTCACCGTACACGAATGGGGAAAAAGTGTCCACCTTGCCACACCACCTCTCATAGTCACCAAGGACCTGGTAGGTGTACTTCTCCAGTGGGCTTTTCACCATTTCATCGTCATCGGCAACTGGTCCCCCAGTGCGTGCTGAATTGAAGGCCTTTGTTTCACCGGTAATGATGCCGCGATAGTGTGCGTACACATGGTTCGCGAAGGCGTAGCATCGGGACTCCATGTCATACACGTAAATCACGTTCCGGTTTGCCAGCCAGTCAGGGCATAGGATCGTACCAGCAGTTGTTTCAATGAGCCGGTGCCCGTTCAAAATCATCATCTGGAGATCCAAGGCAACACAGATGGGGCGGGTCGCCGCCATCGCTGCATAGTCAGTGCCTGAAATTGTCCACGGATCTTCCTTCGTCAAGAATGTGAACCTGGCTCCAGTCCGATTGCCGCCGGGAATCAATCCCATGTTGATGATCTCGACCAGTGCTGCCCGGTGCGTGTAGTGATAGAGGATGGTAGGGGCCACCTCCCTCACCTTTCCCAGCGCACCTTTTGGAACTCGAGGGAATTCGCCGGCCAGGTATTCCACCGAAGTATACTCCTCATCGAGAGTGACAAAGCGTTCATGCTCAGGAAGTGCATCCTTCACGTTGTTGTTTGACCATTCATTATGGTTCTGAATCGCTTTGACCCGAAGAGGTGTATATTGGTATTTCCCACCGACCAAAGTCCCCTTTGGCGCAATCCTCACCTCGAGCATGAATCTGTGATTGGATGTGATGACCGTCAGCAGTTCATCATTGGTAAGGTTGACATCGTACTTCCGCTTGATGAACGAGTACACCTTGCCATAATCCATCCACAGCCCAGCGTCGAAGCTCGGAGGCTGTACCTTGTGCCAGGATTGTCTGCTATGCTCCCATCCTCGGAGCAAGCCTGAGACACGTCGGGAAATCCAGACTTGTTTCGAGTTCAGATTCGCCAAATTGGCAGCACCCGGAACCGATCTCGACTGCAATGCCACAACTTCGTTTTCCCCAAGAGGCGACGAAACGGAAGGCACCGGTGGTGCCTTAGGCATGGCCTTGGCTTTGACAGCTGGTTTTGCTGTCGGGGTCGAATCCGAGGCCACAGCTCCCGCCGGGCGTTTTGGTACTTTGGGCTGAGTTTCCTCTGTTGGCTTCATTTCAACATCGGCCTCAGCTCCCGCCGGGCGTGCTTTTGCTTTCAGTGATGCCGGTTTAGTCTTTGACTTTGCAGTCTCATGTGACGCTTTTGGCGCCCCCGGCTCACCTGATGCTTTCGCCTTCGGAATCCTCGGTTGTGGTGCCTTGTTGGCCAGGTCAGGCTCGTTCCCCAAAGTGGTAACCTCGCGGAACTTTCTGAGTGCCTCACCAGTGAGCTGCGGGATGTCTTCTTCTGCCATGTAGATACGAATGACATCGCTTTCATCCTCCTTCTTTCTCAACTGGTAGGTGACACCCGCGACCTGACATGAGTCGGCATGCATAGATGTGAGGATCGGTTCCTTGAAAACAATTTCTTCATCTGAGTCATCATCTGGCTGATCTTTGTTTTCAAAGCCCTGTTTGATGGCGGAATCAAGGTGATCCTTGAGAAGTTCATTGACGTAGTTTTCATCCGCAATGGGTTCATTGGATACATGGAGCTCCTCTTCTTCCGTGATGGTCACAGGGTCCACCTCGGTGTCACCGTGCTTTGGCATTTCAGCGGTGACAGACACGAACTCCATGCCCGGAGTGTTCACGGGAGCCTGGTTGTTTGCATCTCGGCCTTCCGTCCCCGGAGGCGAATCAGCGCTGGGCGCAAAGGTGTCGTCAATCTCAATGACATCCGGCACACTTGCATCCGGCATCGTCTGATCAGCCTTCGACGATTCAGCCGGGACTTGCACATCCTGACCCTCGTCATAGAAATCCGGACCAACGGTTCCCCGTGGCATGTTGTAAAGTCGCTGATTGAATGGCAAGAGCTTGGCAGCTTCAATCTGCTCCTGGGTCGCGTAGACTGGGTCCCCAAAATCATCCATGTGAGCGACCTCAGTAGTCTCAGAGACCGTCAGGAGCCAGCCATTCTTCTGGTCGATGGCAGTCTGCCGCTTTTGACCCGGGAGAAGCTCATCATGCTCGTCGAAGTCACCCAAAAACAGGTACCCGGAATCAATGCGTCGCTTCCAGATGTGCTCAAGCATGTGTTGGCGGTGGGTCTTTTCCCCACGAGGTTTCGCGAAGAGGTTGGCATCTTTGCGCAACACGTCAACGCCAGCGAGCACCCAGTAGTGGTAGGCGAAGAGAGCAACATTCGCGTAGTACTTCACAAACATCGCCCGGTTCTCTTCTGTGTTATGGCAGTGGAAATTGTCGTACCGCTGACAGGATCGAACCAGGGTGGTGCCTGTCACATTCGTGACGCCAAGGCGAGTGAAGACATCCGCTGATTGGCACATTTGACGGGCGTATTCTTCCGGCAGTCCATAACTCTGCGAATCGCAGTAGCAGATGACGATCAGGGCTGCCACGTCTTTCCTCTGTCTCAAGTCCGCCAAACGCCTCATCTGCTGGGCATGTTTCTGTGCCAGCTCTGCCTGCCACTCATAGGCCGCCCTCTGCTTGGCAGGGTTCCGGTGGAGCACGTTGGTGTCCACCCAAGGGTTGCCCACAAATCCGTGGTTGCCGTACACATCATTTCCGGCATATGATACCACGATGACGGCTGGGGCAGCACCTCCCGGTGTGCGACGCCTTCCGTTGTCAAGACAAGCCTCGATTCCGTCGATGATCGCTTCCAGGCCACGGCCCCAATGCAGGCTGTATTGGACGCTGCCTGCGCGATCCGTCAGGAGTGACGGTCCTGCCTCCTTCAAGTATTCGCCCACGTTGCGCTTGACGCGCGTGGTCTTGCCTTCAGAGTCCACCGTTTCATCCACAAGTGCCATTGACGAATCGCCGGCAAAAATGAAGTCGACCACG